TCAGAGGCGGGAGCCTGCTTCGGATTCTGTGTCTCCCTCTCCCTCTGCCCCTCCCCTGCTCACACTCTGACTCTGTCTTTCAATAATAAATAAACATTTAAAAAGTTTTTGTTTTAATTCTTCTTCTTTGTAAACAATAAAAAGGCTTTCAGTAATTCAAGTAGACCTTGCTTGCTTGCTTGCTTGCTTGAGTATTCTGATTGGACTCTAGTTCCAATCATTATAGCAGTGAAGGCAATGGTATGTGTGAAAAAGTATTTTGAGTCCCTTTCCTTGGGCCTTGTGAAGCACACATCAAAAAAGCAGCAAGATTGGAGGAAAGGATGTAATCTATTATGATTTCTCATCATCCAGAACTTACTTTGTCCACAGGGAAAGAATACTCTAACAGGCCCTAAAGGCTTCTTTTGGTTAGTTGTGATTCCTCCCTCCAGACTTTTTAAATTTTTTTTTTTTCAACGTTTATTTATTTTTGGGACAGAGAGAGACAGAGCATGAACGGGGGAGGGGCAGAGAGAGAGGGAGACACAGAATCGGAAACAGGCTCCAGGCTCTGAGCTTTCAGCCCAGAGCCTGACGCGGGGCTCGAACTCACGGACCGCGAGATCGTGACCTGGCTGAAGTCGGACGCTTAACCGACTGCGCCACCCAGGCGCCCCACCTCCAGACTTTTTAAAACTATTTGCGGAAAACACAGGCACATCTAGTTTGATGTGGTTACTTAAGAAACAAATGAGATCGATCTAGTTTGATCTAATTACTGAGGTGTCCATAGAAAACACCATTCCAGCTGGGTATGGAGTAAGCAACATTTTTCAAAAATCTTATTTCTTTATTTTGAGAGAGAGAGATAGAGAGCGAGCAGGGGAGAGGCGGAGAGAACGAGCAGGGGAGAGGCAGAGAGAGCGAGCAGGGGAGAGGCGGAGAGACAGGGAGACACACCTCTGCGGTGTCAGTGCAGAGCCCAGCGTGGGCTCACACCCATGAACTGTGAGATCTTGACTGGAGGTGAAACCAAGAGTCAAATGCTTAACTGACTAAGCCACTCAGGCACCCCCGGAGAAAGCAATATGAAAGAAAAGAATAACTGAACGTTACAAAGAGATCACAGAAAATGATTATTGCACATCATATAGGTAAATAACAGTGTTCCTGGTTAGAAATTAATTTTTGAGTCAGTGACCCATTTACAAGTTCAAATTTAACAGTTTTGTAATGAAAACATTTTTTAAATGTGTCACTCAAGTATTATCCCTCACTTCTCAATTGAAAATGGGGTTGCTAATATTTAATCATACTTAAACTTCAAGTCCTCACTTTGTAGGACTTTCCCAATAGAGCTAATCATCTTTTTGAAGTTGCTATTTCAGAGTAGTAGCTCCCAAACAGAGCTGCGTTTGTAGTTACCTAGAAAATGTGAGAGGTCTCAGAGATACACTGAAGGGAGGCAAGAAGAGTCAAAATCATTCAAAAAGTACAGTCTGGGTTAGAAGTACTACAAGGATATTACATTGGGTGCATCCTTATCATAGGCAGTGTCTATAGCAGAAATTAATCCAATTTGAAAGTAAGTTAAAAGCTTCATCAAAAAGGGGCACCTGGGTGGCTCAGTTGGTTGAGCATTGGACTCTTGATTTCAGCTCAGGTCATGATCCTAAGGTCATGGGATCGAGCCCCACATTAGGCTCTATGCTGAGCATGGACCCTGCTTGGGATTCTTTCTCTCTCCCTCTGCCCCTCTCCTTTGGCCCCTCTCTCTAAAATTAAAAACAACAACAACAACAACATAAACCTTCATAATAAGACTTTTTACATTGGGGGAACATTAAAGATGCCATAAATCACAACCAAAGTACTGATAATGCCAAAATAAAATCCATTCTCTAGTTAACATAAATGCAACATTTCTATTACTGTAAATGTTGGAATTTCTAATATCACTAGATTAACTTTTACTAAAGAATTTAATTTTTCTACTCATAACGAGGCTAAAAAGCAAGGGCAAGCATTTTTCTTATATACAATTTCTATGTGAATGTTCTGTAGAATTGTAATCACATTTAATATCATTGGGAATAAAGTATTGTTTGATGTCGTTTTGTAATTTTCCTCAATATTTATGCCAGGGGCCCATTTACAAGAATATGTCAAGTATTTCTCAGGCTGCCTGTTTTATTCCTCTTTAAAAATACTACATAAGTTTTTTTAATCAAAACTTTATGGACATTTAAATTTAGTCTAAAAATAGTTACTGAGATTTTTGTTTTCATCCTCAATTCTCAGGATATACTAAATTAAAACCAGATATTCATGTTGAGATACCACCAAGGACTCCTTTATCTCAGCCATTGCTTCGCAGCCAGAGGTAGGCTTCTGTCCCACACCTGCCCAGGAAAACCACAGTCCATGACTGTCTAGCTCTCTTGGAATGAAAGGCACAGTGTGGAACTTCCAGGAAGAATGCACATATGATGACTGGATAATGTGCTCACAGGTGGGCAAGTAAGGCTGTCCTCTCTGTCACTCGTTGTCATGAGTTTTCCAATCCCCGCCAGGGTCAGCTGCCCTACCTCAACTTCCCCGTGTTGTGTGAGTCATTGCTTTGCTTATAAAGATAAAACCAATGGTAGGAACACTTATCGTCCATAGAAACACGAAATGGATGGGCTTTTCCATTATGCTTGACTCTGCAATGAAAGCTCTAGGAAGTGAGTACAACATGAACTCATTCCTTCCGCCTCAGCAGACAGATGGATAGAGACATTCCAGTTTGTTTCCAGTCTTTTGTCTTCAGCACATTTTTGGCATTTCCTTCAGGAAACTGGAGGTTGTGACCTAAGGTTTCCTTCGTGAACACACTTCTGTTTCCCACAGTTAACCTTACCCAGAAATGACATCTACTCTGTGAGGTGAGGTTTATCTTCATGTCCCAACTGTGTCCTGTGCATATGCAGTGACAGTTGAAAGCACAGATTCTGAAAGCAATAACGGGACTGAAGAGGCAAACACACCCAAACCCTTCAAATGAATTCTCAGTGAAGATGACAATAATATCGAAACAATTATTACAGTAATTCTGTGGCGCTTACAAAGTGCCCTTGGTCTCATTGCCTAGTTGGGAGCAATTAATGGCCAGGGCGCCAAAGCTATCAGAGATTATTGAAAGCTTTCAGGTATGAGGGGTATACTACTCAACCTACATTCTACAACTTGCTACTCCTTGCTAGCTATGTGCTCCTACTACTGTGTGGTCCCATATTGTCCAAAAGACAGTCTGGGAGAAGCCAAGACAGTGTCTTGGAAAAAAGTGATTTAATATACTATCTCCCAGATCCATATCCCTATTTCCCCAGCATGTTGGTAGAAAGCCAAGAATGTAAAAGCTTTTGTTGATGGGCTTGAAGCGACCATTGCGTTTCACAGTTTAAATTAGATTTACTGGGGCACCTGGGTGGCTCAGTCGGTTGAGCGTCCGACTTCAGCTCAGGTCACGATCTCAGGGTTCGTGAGTTTGAGCCCCGCGTCGGACTCTGGGCTGATGGCTCGGAGCCTGGATCCTGCTTCTGATCCTGTGTCTCCCTCTCTCTCTGCCCCTCCCCCATTCATGCTCTGTCTCTGTCTCAATAATAAATAAACATTAAAAAAATTTTTTTAATTAGATTTACAACTACATTCTTGTATATTATTTCTTTAAAAGCCCGTGTTTTAGGACAAGAATTATTGTGTAACACTTAGTTTGGCTCGAATGCAATTTAAAACTCCAATAATGGCATTTACTTGTCAGCGTGGTATTTAGAGGTTGGTGGTTTTCATCGCATTTTTTACTACTCTTCAGTGTTAACTTATTGAAGTTTCTCTTCCTGAAAAAGATAGAGTGGTTTTTTAACAAACCACATTTTTTTTCACACCCTAGTTTATCAAGGTGAAATCCTTTAAAGAGTAACAGAAAATTGCCCTTAACTTTGATTGTAAAGATCCACATAGTCAAACACAATGTCTTATTTCTTTAAAAAAAATGCTATTCACAAAGGAATCTTTAAAAAAAATCAGTTTATTAATGTTTAAAAGTTGATAAAGCTATGTGCAAAATGATCCACAAAAGTCAGAAACCTATTAAATACTATTTTTTTAAAAAAAGACATTTCTCGGTTTAATTGCACTGAAAACCATACTAAAGAGACAGCAATATATTTTTATTTTTTGTGACATTTATACACATCTTTAATTAACTATTTAATGAACAGCTGTATTTTAAAACTTCTGGTATTCCCTATCAGTTAAAGTAATGCTTTAATGGCACAAGAGGGTTGTACTTTCTTAGGAAATACATGTTCAACGGTGTTAACACAGGTTAGAAAAGTCCAATAAAATGCTGAAACAAATACATTCAAAAATCACGGAAAGTACTTTGAACACAACAAAATACAACCATCCTGTTGGTTGAAATAATTCACACAACACTCTGAAATAAACGTCAACAAAAGTGCCAAAGACAGACGTTGTATTTGTTAGACAAACTCATTAAGAAATCTCTCTTGGTTTACAAAGTCACCCCCAGTCAGTTTTCACCTTGTTTTACTTGTTTGATTCTCCTATGACACAAAGGATCCCGGTTGATAGCATCTAGATAAACTGGACTTATGCAGACTTGCAGACACAATGGATAACGATGCTGTAACATACTTCATTGTAAAGTTGTTAAAAGAAAAAAAAAAGAAATCAAAGTGACTGTAACCAAATTCCAAAAACTGATCCAGCTTACGTGGAAACTTTGGCCTCAGCAAATAAAATTGCTTTACATCTCCAAACCATCTCCATTCCTCACAGTTTCCCTCCTGAACACGGCCTACCCGCTGCAGACGATCAGGAAATGGACCGTGCCACAACCCCGGCTCTGAAGAACGCCAGGTCGTTCAAATATAAAGTAACAGAATTTTAAGGAGGGGTGTGAAGGGAAAGGGAGGGTAGGATATGCAGGGCATACCCAGAGACGCAGAAGTGCACACAGTCACTTGGGCTGGCAACTAAGGTGAGAGAAAACGTCTCCTCCAAGCTCTCCACAGATGCTCTCACACTGGGGCCTTAGTCTTAGAGGAGCGGCCAGATGAACCCTCCAGGAGCTTGACAATGCTAGACCTTTGGCTCAGTGCAAAATCAAAGCTCCAGGGCGGGGGTAGGAAATAGATCCCAGGCGAGGACCTGATCTCCACCCTTCCCAGTGCATTGTTCACAGGAACTAACCCACCAACACCCCGGCACCACCAGGCTGCTCTTACTCTGCCCCCTGCCCCCTCCGTCTGGCTCCCAGCAGCTCCTCCCTGGCAGCGGTGGAGGCACAGAGACTTTTTTATTTTTGTTTTTGTTTTCCAAACACTGGGTGGTGGGGTGACCATGCAAGAACTCTCCCCATGGGTCGGGCAGCTTTCAGTTTTAGGAAGAAGAGTTGACATTTCCAGAGGACATAATGGTCTCTGGGTTGTCCCCATCGTCCTTCTGGGGGTGGGAGGAGTTGTCCGACTTACTGCGGCTGAATTCCATGCCGGCGATGATGGGTCGCTTGAATTTGCCGGCGGAGTCTCCGCTGGGGCACTTGCAGCAGGACAGGATCCGGATGAAGGCCCGGCGCATCTCCTTGTTGGTCAGAGTGTAAATGATGGGGTTGGTGCCGGAGTTGAGCACGGCCAGCACCAGGAAGTACTCCGCTCTGAAGAGGATGTCGCAGGTCTTCACCTTGCAGCCCACGTCCAGCAGGAGCAGGATGAAGAGGGGCGCCCAGCAGGCGATGAAGACGCTCAGGACGATAATCACGGTCTTGAGGAGCGCCAGCGACTTCTCAGAGCTGCGGCTGGCCTTGGAGATGTTCTTGCGGAAGGTCAGCCGGCGGCTCCGAGTCCTGACCAAGGAGTAGATCCTGCAGTACAGGATGACGATGGCGAGCAGGAGCAGGGTGAAGACGGTGGTGCAGAAGAGGATATAGTGCTTGTGGTAGAGTGGCAGGACAGTGGAGCAGCTGGCCAGCATGTTGATGCAGTTCCAGCCCATGATGGGGAAGCCACCCAGGATGAGGGAGATGACCCAGCAGGCACTGATCAGCAGGAAGGAGCGGAAGCTGTTGCTCCCGTTGTGGAGTTTCATCTTCAGCATTGTGATATAGCGCTCGATGGCGATGGCTAGGAGGCTGAACACCGAGGCAGACAAGGCCACAAACATACTCCCTTCCCGCAGAAACCACTGGGCGGGGGTGAGCTTGTAGGTGGTGGCGCCAGACAAGAGCAGGTTGGCCGTGTAGGCCACTCCCGCCAACAGGTCTGAGAGGGCCAGGTTGCCGATAAAATAGTACATGGGTCGGTGGAACTTCTTGGTTTTCCAAATGGTCAGCAAGACAAAGATGTTCTCTAGGATGATAAAGCAGCAGATGAGAATGAACACCACGGAGCTCAGTTTAATGCCGTTCTCGTCCGCGCTGACATTCAGTTTTCCCGTGTAGTTGTAATGCCGGACGATAATGTCGTAGTTGACATAGTCAGACACAGAACTGCGGTGGGTCTTCACCAGCGGGACGCTGGTGGACCCCATGGTGCGCAAGGTCTCCAGGAACCCGGGGGTGGCGCTTCTCCTGAAGAACGCTAGAGGGCGACGCCGAGAGAGCCTTCACTTGCCGCGGTGGGGGGGTGGGTCCGTCCGGGAGATCCAGGCTTTTTGTGTAGCTTTTCCTTGGCTGGAGAGGGCCTCGGGAACAGCAGCTTTAAACAAGTCACAAAGAGGAGAGAGTCAGGGAAAAAGCCACAGCACACTGGCATAATTCATTCTAGCTAAGGCACTGCTCCAGTTTTGTCATGGATTTGTTTTAAGTAAACTTGGGGAAAGCGCAAGGAGAAGGATTTCAGAAAAAGAAAATCAAATTCTTATTTCTTGCAAAAAAAAAAAAAAGAAAAGAAAAAAGGGGGGAGTAGGGTGGGTGAGGGAAGGGAGAAAAAAATTTTTACCCAAACTGAAAACTCCCAACTCGACAAGACGAAAACTCTCCCTGTGTCACATCCAAACGGAAATGGGAAAACTAGAGAAGCAAGTCCCATTTAACACCCCTTCTGGCTTCCCTCTCACGCTGCCACCACCTCGATCCTCCAGGGTTTCTGTAGCTTGAGGTGTTCTGAAGAGCCCGCCCCTCTCAGCAGCGGGTTCACTACCAGCTCTTGGTCTCTCCTCGGAAGAGACCCAACCGCCAATATGAGGGTGGAGACGCACAGCACCACCCAGCCAAAAGAACAGAGAACCACCTCCCACTGGGCCATGCAAGACATTAGATTGCACGAAAATCACTTGACAGAGTCATTCTTTGGGCCTATTAATAACTCCTCTGAACAGGTGTGCTTTGTCCGAGGGCGCCGCTGCATGGTGGGCAGCCAAGTCCGCCCCGGCCTTGCGGTAAACAGGAAAGCTTAACGTCTCTGTGAAGCAACTGCCTTTTCTTTCTTCTGCTGCTGCTGCTTCTTCTTCTTCTTCTTTTTTTTTTTTTTCTGGTAAGCTAATGCAGGGAAAAATCTAAAGGTTCAGTGAAAATCATTCATAAGAGATTGCAATAAATCCTAGAGTTTCTGCACCATTGATTAAGGAGTATGTTTAGTTACTGTGGGGTTTGGCCAACACACACACACGAGATAAGTTATACTACTAACGATAACAATATACATGCTACTACATTCTAATTCCAAGTGCAAATCTACAGTCCAGAAAGTCTGAACGTACGTCTGGTATTGCTAACGTGAGGCGGTAGTTTTACTTACTGCCCTCCCCCAACATGTTGCCTGTCTCACAGAACTAGAAAGTGTGAGAATGGTACGGCACGGTTCGCAGAAGTCTAATGGTACCTCCTGCTGAAATGTTTCAAAGTAACGCCGCAATGTGGATAGAAGGGGCGTAATAGAGAGAGCAAAAGTTCCTGGGACAGCCGACGCTGCTCGTACCCAGAAACTCGGCATTCCCATCTAATTCCACACCCTCCTCGCCGGCAGTGCAAGTTGCCCTACCCCACCCCCCACTCCCCCCACCTCCCATATATTCCTTGGTTCTATAAGATTTCCAAAAACTAAGCCCCTTCCCCACCCCTCTGGGTGACCAACCGCAGTTTCCACTCTCCCCCACCTCAGTCGGTTTTACAACTGGACTGTCCCTTCTCCAAACTTCATTAAATCGCGCTCCCCAAGAACACCTGATGGACTGGGCTTAGTAGTTCAGGGATGAATGTTTCAGCGCCCAGAGATGGATGCAAAAGTTTCCGTTTTGCTTCGTTCCGGCTTAAAAATTCGTTTCAACACTGGAACACCTCCGTAGCGGGGTCCCCCGCACCCCCGGCTCACGCTGGCGCCGCGCTCAGTCCCCACCTCGCTCAGGCAGGACGAGAAGCTGGTGCTGGGAGAGCTCTGGGTCTCCACTGCGCGTCACCTTGCTGCTGCTGCCCCTGACCACTGCGTGACAGTTTTGAAACTTACTCGAGTCGGGGTCCCTCCCTCCGCAGCTGCACACTCCAATGCCCTGTTTCTCTGTGGCTCCGCGCCGGCCCGCTAGCTGAAGTCACCGAGCGCCCCGCTGAGGCCGTGTGGCTTCCCTAGGAAGAGGCGGGAGGGGGGTTAAGGTTCCACCCCACGCCTCCGCCTGCGGCTGCACCCGGATCTCGGCTTCGGAGACTCACTGTCCAGGAAAGATCTGGGGCAGAAGAAGGTAGTAAGGCACACGCGCGCACACACACACACACACACACACACACACGCACACACCTCCTCCCCCCCCCCCCCCTCCTGCAACTGAATTAAAAAAAAAAAAAAAAAAAAGGAAAAGAAAACAGAGAAGGGACGGAGGCTGGTGCCCCCTGGACTCTGATGCATAAATCACAGCCCTCGCCCGGCTGTCCACCGCTCCCAGACACCGTTCTCCCGAGTCTTAGAAAAGAGAGGACGTGGGGAGCCTTTGGAAACTTTTCTCCCGAAAAGTCTCAGGGGGCAGAGGACGGCCCGGCGTCTCGCAGCGCACCTCGCTGTTTCCCTACCCCCGCAAGCTCTCGATTGGATCGGAGTACCGAGATCGTGGCGGGGCGTCCCGGGGCCGCTTCTGTGCAGACAGGGAAAGGAGGAGCCGACACCCCGCGAGTCCCGGCCGCCTACCGGGGACGAGAGGCTGGCAACGGGCTGCCACAGACGCGGAGGAGATATGAAGCAGCCTAGAAGGGAGAATGGTCCCGGAGGTCCCACTGCAGCCCCGAAACTTGTGGTCTGAGGGGCAGAAAGTGGTTTTCCCGGGGCTCGGTGACGAATGGGCTAACGCGGGGCGAGAAGTAGGGCTGGCTTTCCCCTCACTCAACTGGGCGCAAACTCAAGCCGTGTGTCCCAGATTCTGAGACCTTTGGGGAGGTGGTCAGCTGCTGGGGCCTGACAGATTTAAAAGCTTGGGCAGCACAAGAATTTCCAAAAGGGAAGAGCCGCAGGACCCAGCCAGCCTAGTCTGAGACCGGTGACCTTCTCTCCCTTTCTACTCGGGACGATTCAGAGGCCCCCACACCTCATGCTCCCAACACGCCCACTCTCTTCTTTCACTTTGATGCTACTTCAGAAGGTGAGACATAGAGGCGGCCTTGGTCAGCTCCGCCTAAGTGACAAGCTCAGAGCACTTCTGCCCTGCTCTGCTGCTAGATTTCCACCCAGTTCCTGGTCGCTCTGGCTTCCCATCCTGGCAGATGTGAACGCAAAACTTCTCCGTGTGCAGTTTCAATTGACAGACACACCCTGTACCTGAATGACTCAGAAGGCGGTTGAATGAATAAACAACAGACCCCTGACTTCTGGGATCTTATGATTTTGCAAAAGAAGAAATCTAACGACAGTTAAAATCAAGTTCACAGCTGCCTTCAAGTCTTCAGCAACCGAGTTGCACGGAGCACATCGCCACAAAACAACAGCACATGCATACAACGTGGAAATGCAGAGGAGTGTCCTCTAGACTCTAGAATAGGCTCTGGATGGGTTTGGGGACTTCCTTTATTTAAAAGGAAGGATATGCTGAGTCTGCCCTGCACAACATAAGGTGTGGAGTTGGCAAAATCCACCCCATCCACTAAATTATGAGTTCTTTGAAGGGGAAGGAATTAAAGTGACTTGCATACCCAAACTCTATCTATCACGATAGATTATCTAATTTGAACAAGCATTGCTGGTCATTTTATTTATGAGAGAAATGTCACTAAGACAGCTTACACTAGGCATCCCAGAACTGAGTTCCAAAACTTAATGAGTGCAAATGCATGTCTCCCAGTTCAAACACCTGCAGTCAATACACAGTGAAGGGAGTGAAGGGAAACCTCTGGTTTTAAAATTTTTATTTTTTATTAAAAAATGTTTTAATGTTTACTTATTTTTGAGAGAGAGAGACAGAACACAAATGGAAGAGGGGCCAAGAGAGGGAGAGGGAGACACAGAATCCGAAACAGGCTCCAAGCTCTGAGCTGTCAGCACACAGCCTGACGCTGGGCTCGAACTCTGGAATGGTGAGATCATGACCTAGGCTGAAGTCAGACACCTAACTGACTGAGCCACCCAGGTACCTGGTAGTTTAAAAAATTTTAAATTGTGGGGTGCCTGAGTAGCTCAGTCCATTAAGCGACCAACTCTTGATTTCGACTCAGGTCATGATGCCACGGTTTATGAGATTGAGTCCCCCCTGGCACCTGTTTAGGATCCTTTCTCTCTCTCTTCCCCTTCCCTGTTCTCTCTCCCTCAAAATAAATAAATAAGTTTAAAAAAAGAAAAGAAAAGAAAAATTTTAAATTGTACTAATCTCTTGGCTATATATGTATAAAATGTATACGAAGATATGCTAGTGAATGTCCTTTTAAAAACCACTTATTTCCTAACCATGCAAGTCTGTGAAACATATATAAAAGTATGCTAGTAGATGTTTTTTCCCAGAAGAAAGTATTTTTTTTTTTTGCTGAAATGCTTTGTTAAATTAAATTTATTTTTATTAAATTATTAAATGTTACATTATTTATTAAAATAAATTTATTTTTATTTTTACCACTTTTTAAATTATAAAGACTTTTTAAAAGAGTAGTTTTAGGGTCACAGCAAAATTGAGTGGAAAGTGCAGGCATTTCCCAAAGCCCCCATACCCCACACATGCGTGGCGTCTCCCATCAACAACATCCCCACCAGAATGAGACATTTGTTAGAGTCGATGGGCCTACACTGACACATCATAATCATCCATTGTCCATAGTTTCTACCATGGCTCATTCTTGATGTTGTACATTCTGTGGGGTTGGACAAATGTATAATGACATGTATCCATGATTACGGTATCATGCATCATATTTTTACTGCCCTAAAAATCCTCTGTGCTCTGCCTATTTATGCCTCCCCTCCCCCATGAATGTCCTTTTTAAAAACTACTGATTTCCTTACTACATATTTCCTGACATAGTGTATACAAATGTATAATAATGAATAATAAATTTAATAATGAATATTAAAACATCTCATTATCCACCTATAACATCTAATATAAGGTTGTACATTTGGGTACCAGATTCTAAGTATTATACATACTAACTCATCCTTCTGATGACCCTACAAGTTAGGAATTATTATTACCCTAACTTTACAAAGAAGGAAATTGAGTCCCAGGTGAATTATGTTAAGTAACTTGGTTAACGTGGGCTGTGACCATAGATGGGCCGTAGCCTCTTAACCACTAGTACAAACCACCACAATAAACCTCAAACGTGTCAAAGAATTGCGTAGGGGAACAGTCTTTTTCTTGTGAATATTGCTGGTGAGGACAGCATTCATTTGGTATTAATGCAGTGTTTTAAAGAGCTCAAGTCCTTTTCAGACGATTACTTAGTAATCTCCATCCTTAGTGCACACCTATTAGATATAAAATGCAGATGACCACTCAGGCAAAATTAGAAAGCAGGGCAAAACAATTTGCAGCAATGGCTTCCCTGCCAGTTCCAAGTCTCTGGTTCCCACACATATCTCTTCCCATTACTCTCAGGAGAGGCCCTAAGAATTGCATCCCCAAGCTATGTCCTGGCTCTTAGCCC